AGAGAGAGAGAGAGAGGGGGGAGAGAGAGAGGGAGAGAGAGGGAGAGAGAGAGAGAATACCACAGGGTTTTTTTTTGGGGGGGGTGACAGGCTTGCTTGCTAACATTCAGCCTCACAGAAACTGATCTCCAGAGCAAGCCTTGCTCACTCATAAAAAAGCAATTCCTCATTCAAGGCCAACACAACTCAACACTGCCCCCTGGGCCCAAACCTCACTGTAAGCTTTATGGGGAGAACTGTAGCACCCTTGGAGCAGATAACCAACATGTCTCTCCCTTAAATCAGCATTACTGTGATTGTCTCCCCTTCCCACTGTGCCTTTCTATTAACTGGAGTATGTTTAGGAGTGATTTAAGCTCTCTGTTCATTTCACAAACTGCAGAACATGCCTGCAGCTGTCCAAGCAAGACACACGTCCCTGACTTTGACCATCAGACTTCTGATAAGGAATAGCCATGTCCTCCACAGGAATTTTGTGCTGAGAAAATGAAAAGGCTGAAGACTGATGCCCACTAGAGGAGGAACCTATCTCCTGGAAACATTTCACATAGCCCTACAACATGTCAGATAGTCCTTCAGGACAGGCTGGAGCTGGGATGCTGACAGCAGTAAAACCTCACCTTGGCCAGGAACGCCTAGTTATGCATACCCCTTACTTTCTACTTAAATATAAAATAAACCTTGTGTCAGAACTCCTAAGAAGGGCTTGAGGGTGGCTGTCATTGGACCTCTTTATTTGTTCCTCTTCCTAATGTGTCCACATTGAATAAATCTCTCGGTGACTTTCACCATGGCTTATTTCTTTAATAAGCCTAGTGGGAATGTGTGGCCAAGGTTAACTAGTTGGAGCTGCCAGGGCCCAGACTCTGACCCTAAAAACTCCAATTAACAGTCAAATTAGCTACCTATACGACCCATAGAAGCAATTGTTAAATACTCTTAAGAAACCCAGTCCCTCAATCTGTAGACACCTGTGTCCTGCTGTGCTAGGGGGCTGTGCTGAAGTGTTGCAGAACAACTTTGGATCACGACGGAAGGATGGTTTTTGGATGTATGGGAAGGATGTCTGGATTCATGGCCAGAAGTGGAAGCTACTTCTCGAGGGCGGGACACCCAGTTACAGCCGTAGAGTTGGTGGTCACACCGATAGCAGCTCTCTTAGGACAGCGCTGTTTTCAGCTTTGAGACCTTCCATGCCCTTGGTTCTTGCTCACGCCCTGGCTATAGTGATGTGATTATGAAGTGTTCACAAGTGATACAAAAAAAGGACACAAACGAGAAAGGAGGGAAAGGAAGAAGAAAGGTGGCCGAGGGTCTTGCTGATTTCCATGAGGGCTTCACATGCCATGGTGATGTCACCGGTGGATCATGGGCTCTCACAGACATGCTTATTAGTCATCTCACCCCTGTCTTCCATAGACCACTGCCCTCCAGGAAACCCTGTGAGGCTTAAACAGATCAAGACTACTCCTGGTCTTCATAACCAAGCTGTTTAGCCAAGACAGGAACCTCTCTCCCTCTGGACAGTTACAGCCAAGTCATTGTAAATGTTCTTATTTTCCCTAACTTTTCACAGCGGCACCCTCTAAGCTTGTAGGGCTAGTTTCATTTATCTACAGAAGCAACACCATTTCTACAAATATGCCATCTTCAATAGCATCAAATGTTTTTTAATCACTTCAGAAACTGGTTATCTTTGGAACTCCTGCCCCCTGGTGTCCACTAGAGGGAACTCCTCTGTTTGAGCTCTGGAATCTAGGGAGGAAGTGAGCTCTAGAACTGCTGAGGCTTAATCGGGCCATTTCCCACACAAACAAGATGTTTCTGTTAGTGAAATCTGAAAGAACATGACACCAGGGCTCTGAGATTGGCACTAATGACACTCTTGGGTTGGGGTTTACCGCCCTGTGCATCTGAGCATTGTAAAACATTTAGCTCAGTGTTCCAGTGTTCCACTAAATGCCACTAGCACCCACCCTTACACATGGGTTGTGACAAGCAAAAAACGCAGATATTGCCACTGCCAAATGGCTGCAAGGGCAGGGAAGGGAGCAAGTCCCACACTGAGAGGCACTGACTTGCTGATCCCCGCCCCATGGGCACCAAACCGTGTCTGTTCCAGCTCAGAGCCTCAGCCTGAACACAAGCTGCAACCCTCGAGTTCCTAGCTTGTGAACCACAGCAAGAAGGTTCTGTCTGCCAGACCACGAAGGAGGAAGTCGTGGCAGCTAGGACGTGAGGCACCTCAGTCACACTGCACCTAGTCAGGAAGCGGAGAGAAATGCTGGGGCTCTGCCTGCTTCCTCTTTTAGTCAGTCTTGGCCCTCACAGCTACTGCTGCCTTCCAGTTGTAGTTGGCCAGCTAACTCAAGCCAGTAACTCCCTTAGAGACACTTCATTTACACTGGGAGGGAGGGGAGCACGGCTGGGCTGGGAAAACGGCTGAGTTGATAAACTTGATTCCTGAGAACGCACAGAAAATATATGTGGGGGAGAGGGGAACAGCATGCAGCTGTAAGGGTGAAGGACAACTGAGGAAGACATCAGTGTCAACCCCTCCACACTCAGACACACACACACACACACACACACTCACACACACACACACACCACACACACACACACACACACACACACACACACAGCTTTATAATGTGGGAGTGACACCCTGCACTCTGTAGTCCTCTCTCTGTAATAGAACAGGCCCAGGAGGTCATGGCAGCTTTTCTGAGCCTAAGGTCCTAAAACCCTATACAATTACAATCATAACTGATACTTTTCAACATCTCTGGAAGAAAATGCATAATCCATGACCAGACCAGAATATACTGAGAAAAATAATTTATTCAATTATAAACCAGGATTCTTACTTTAAAAATGTTTAAACATTACCTTTAATAACACCCTAAATTTACTAAGTATTTAAATTTAGATGGATTTTTAAAAGTCAGAAAGTTCCCTCAAAATTCCTTCAGCCTTTTTTCTACACTTTCAGGACAGATCATTTCTTTGATTCAAGACTTAAGACATTAAACTCTCCCACTTTAGACCAGATCCCGCACAACCTGAGTGACAGAGAGGCAGAGATCTTAGCCAATGTGTTGTCTCTACTTCCTTTCGCAATCCCACAAATCTGGGAATTTTTTTTTGGGGGGGTGGTTTGTTGCTGCTGGGTATGGGACTTTTTTTTAAACTATTGAAGAGTAAGAGGTGGTTCACTGTAGACAAAATGCAAGCTCCTTTTTTATTGAAGCCCTTCACACCATACCTCAAGACAGTGCAATGGCATTTTAAATAAATTGCTTGAAAATGGAAACAGATGACACAACTGGAAGACAAGCAAAATATAAATATACGGACATATGGAAACACAGACTGACAACCCCCTTTATACTGATTTGCTTAAGTTACCATACAGAGCAGTGGTTCTCAACCTTCCTAATGCTGCAATCCTTTAATACAGTTCCTCATGTCAATTTATTAATTTATTAAATTATTTGTTGCTACTTCATAATTGTGACTTTGTTACTGTTATGAACCATAACGTAAATATCTGATATGCAGTATATTTGATATGTGACCACTGTAAGGGACACGACCCACAGTTTGAGAACCACTGATAATATAGAAGATTTTAAGGTCCCCTCAGAGAAGGGAACTGAACATTTAGCAGCTCAGTTATGGTGACTGGGTCTCCCATTGCTATTGAGTCAGCTGCCCATGTTGTCCAGTACGTCTGTCTGGCTGTTGCACTTGGATAGTGCAGACAGAACAGGGGGAAATGAGGTCACACAATGGAGGGCTTTCTCTTGATTCCAATCCTCCATGCTGGAGTATGATGGGCTGAGGAAGCTTGAGGTTCAGAGGTGGTAGAACCAGATGACAGAGTGTCTTCCCATGGAAATCAGGTCCTTGTAGTCCACTTCGGCCTTCTCCTTCCCTAAAGCCACACACTCCTCTCACCACAGTGCTCAACACGGAATATGACTTAGGCGCCTTCCATTCGATTCCTGCTATTAGGCACCGTTAAGAAGCTGCCTGTATTTGCAACTCAGTTCAAGTACTGACCCATGCCCTGTCCCTCCAGTATAGCACAAACTCTAAGTCGACAGCCCCAAATTTACTGGGACACTGAACATGTGCCACCATGATACCCATTGGTACTCTCTACCTTCCTTATAGACAGAAGCCAGACATTAGCCCAATGGAGTCTGAACTGCCAGTGGCCTGATGCATTAGTTGGAAAGCCTTTGAAGACCACGAGGTGTCCTCATTACAGATCTCCTGCTGCAAAGTCTTTCCGTGTTGCTCTAGAACCCTCCCTACCAGGAAGGCCAAGGGGATAGTGCCCCTCACGCCGATCAGCCCATCTTGTTGCCAAGCACTTCTCTTAGCACCCTGTTCTCCAGTAAGCTATCTGACATACTGAGTAGAACGTTCTGGCTTTGTATTTACCTATGGCAAATTAATTTTGATTTCAGCTTATGTAGTATTTCCTCCAAACCCAGAATATATAAGAAATCGCTGAGAATTTACATTTGATTACTTGCCATAACCTCCTTCCCACATATTACAAGGCTCAAAGTTATAAGGAGAAATAAATAGTATGTGTTTGCCATGTTGGTGGGTTTTGGTTTTGATTTTTAAGGTAAAATCAACTGTTATTACTTTTTTGAGGAATTAGCCAGAATAATTCTCTGTCAAATTTAGAAACCTGCCAGCACAATTTGAAGTCAGACATTACTCCTAACCAAACTATACTCTTTTGTCTGCCAGGCTACCTTTACATTTTTAATTTCTGAAGGCAAGCCTATCTGATAGTCCCAACAGTATTCTGGAGATAAGATTTTAGTGGGTTTGTTGAAAAGGAAGTATTTGTTGAGGTGGCTCTCATCGTGCCACTCTGCTTCGATGTCATTGCTCTTGTCCTGGAGGATTCCCTCAAAGCACTCTCGGGTGAGGTTGAGAATGTGAATGGGTGTTCCTCCAAAAATGGCTGCGTGGTAATAAAAATCCCCCTGCCCAAACGGGATGTACGCCGCCGACAGTTTCCGCCTCTCATAGGTAAACTTGTCACGATCGGCCTTGTACCACCAGGCCTGGAGCTGAGCTACCAACTGGCCCAGAGTCTCCACACCGAAATTGTCTTGAAAGACCTGATCCACGTCCATGCAGAAGAGGAAGTCGACCTCGTGCTGTATGTGGGACAGGATGTGCTCCCCGATGGTCTTCATCCGCATCATGCTGATGTCCTGCCATCGCTTCTCGGACTTGATCTCAAACACTTGTAAGGAATGCAGAGGACTCAGGTGTATAGAAGGCATTCTGGAGGCATCGTCCACCATGACATAAAATATGACCCTGTGGCCAACCATGAAGTACCTGTTAGCAGACTCCAGAAAATCTTCCAAATAATGCTCTATGTACCTGAAACAGAGGGGGACATGTTTAACCATCACTAGTACCCTTACGGGGACACATGCTAGTTCAGCACCCTGGCTCCTCTCCACCAGCTGGTCCTTTCCCAGTCCTCAGGGAAAGTGGAATAACTTCTGCCACTGCCAACTCTGTAAGAACAACTGGGCATGCATAGCCCTGTCCTCCTGCTCTTGGAAGCAGGCCAGCCTGAGAGGTATGTGTTTTCAACTACCCGCTTTGCAGTAAGCCTCACGGTAAGGCTCTGTTCTCAAATTTGGAAGCCTGCCATCAAAGAAGGTGTAGCCCTGGAATACCCTGAGGCCAGTGTCGCTACTGCCAGGCCAAATGCAAAGCAAGTATGTTGCCCATGTCCAGCGGGCATTCATAACAACCTTATCTTCTCTGTGTTTTGTTAAGTCTAAGCATAGCACTGTCCCACCCTCCTTTGTGATACGAGGAATGGTGTGTAGGATGGAGATCGACTCCCACCGGCACCGTCCCATCATCCTCTGTGATGCAGGGAATGGTGGAAGATGGAAATCCCCACATTGCCTGGCCATTCTACAAACCTCCTACTGGTTACCTCAAACACCAGTGTATCATCCAGACAAATAATGATGTTACAAATCCATCCAAATACTGGAACAGTCTCTGATTCTCTTAATTTAACTTTTTTTTTTGAGACAGGTTATCATGTATGTCAGGCTAGCCTCAAACTCACTATGCAGCCAAGAATGACCTTGAACTTCTCATACTCCTGCTAGGATTACAAACATGCCACAACACGTGCAGTTTTTGTGGTACCTGGGATCAAACCTAGAGCTCCACTGCAAAGCTTAGTCAACCATCTAAGCTACAGTCTGGCTATATTTTAATACTTCTGTATTTTGAATTCTGAGCAAAACTGAGCTGAAAGTTTGGGAGTACCCAAATGCCTCCTGCCTAGACAAATGAACAACCTTCCTACTAGGACCACCATGCTCCAGACAGCAGGTTTGTAATAGTTGTCACTTCCACTGACAACATAGTTTCTACTAAGGTTCACTTTGGGAAATGTGCAAAAGCACAATGCCAGGCATATCCACCGCTGTGGTATCATTCAGAATAGCTTCACTACCCTAAGAATCTTCTAGGCTCTTCTTTTCTCCTCCTCTCTCCCCCAGCTCTTGAGTCAATAATCTTGTTCCTAACACTATAGTTTTGCCTCTTCCAGAATCAGAATCCAAAGCAGGGCAGTATGGACCTGTCATAAGGTTACTGTTGCCCTTGGTGGAACACCAACACCAAAAGCAAGTTCAGAAGGAAAATTATTTGGCTCACACATTCACATAGTAACCCACTGAAGTGACATGACAGGAACTCAAACAGGGTAGGAACCTGGAGGCAGAAGCTGATGCAGAAGCCATGGAGGTGTGCTGCTTATGGCTTGTCCCTCATGTCTTAGTCTGCTTTCTTATAGAATACAGGACCACCAGCCCAGGGATAGCCCCACCCACAATGGGCTGGGCTCTCCGCCATCAATTAGTCATTAGAAAATGCCCTGCAGCCTGATCTGAGGCTCCTCCTCTCTGGTGCCTCCAGCTGTGACAAGGTGATATAATACTGACAGCATAGGAACCTTCCCAGATTAGGTTCTTCACTTAGTGACAAAAATTTCTCCTTGCTTTCTATGGCTTCATAGCTCACTTTTTAGCAATGAATAATATTCTGTTATCTGAATGGACCACAATTCATTTTTTACATTTGCCTGTCAAAGGAAAACTTGTCTGCTCCCAAGTTTTAGCAATTATGAATAAAGCTTTTAAGAATATCTATATGCAGGTTTTTGTGTAAGACTTTTTCAACTCACTTGGGTTAATACCAAGGAATTTGATGATTAGATTATGATAAGAGCATGTTCAATTTTGCAAGCAACTGCCAAAATTTCTCCCAAGATGGCTGTACCATATTATATTCCCACTAGCAGTAAACAAGGATTCTGATTACTTCACACCTTTTCAACATTTGGTATTGGCAGTTTTTTTTTTTTTTTTTTTGCCATTCTAACAGATGAGATTTGTCAATTTGTCTATTTATCATTTGAGTGACATTATACTGATGCCTTATACAAGCTCAAGCTACAGACTATTTTCCTAATTCATGCCAAGGAGACTGCAGAGATGAGGGGGAAGTCAGATGGTCCCTTTCCAAACCTCAAACTTACACACAGAGACTACGGACCACAGTTTACTGAGCACACAACTAGCCAAGCAGAATGACTAGTGTTTTTTTCTTTTTTAAAAAATACTTGCATTTTCTCTTTTTTTTCCAATAATTTATTTTTATGTGCATTTGTGTTTTGCTTGTGTGTATGCCTGTGTGAAGTTGCCAGATCCCCTGGAACTGGAGTTACAGACAGTTGTGAGCTGCCATGTGTAAGCATTTTGACAGATCGGATGGGATGGATTACGGCACTTGAAAGCCGAAGAATACTGAGTGTTACAGCTCAGATGGAAAGGTATTCTGGCAATCAGGAGCCAAGGAATACCACAGGTCACAGTAAGCATAGCAGCTTACAGCCCTGCTTCAGGGAACGGCTTCCCAGTGTATCAGCTCTGCTCCTGCAGGAGAGGGCTTCCCTGGTAAAGTTGTTACAGTTCGGCAAGGAGAGCAGCAAAGTGTTACAGCCCTACTCCGATCTGCTCTCTGGTGAAAGAAGGTCTCACCTCAAACATCATTGAAGAGATTTATTGGGAGGGAAGAATCCAGGCAGCCACAAGCTGAACAGATACAGGGTTTATATGGGGAATCTTAGGGGAGTTTTTCCAGGGAGATTTCCAGGGTGGGGATTGGCCAGATTTCAATCCCTGAGCTCTGAATGGCTAAATCTCCTGCTCAGGGATTGGTTGGTTTTCTGCACAGGATTAGGGTCAGATTTGGCTCTGGTTTCAGGGCCAAAGTATGTTTCTTTCACTGGTCCTTTTTAGTCTTTTGGCTCTAATTTTAGGGCCAGGATGTATTTCTTTCTCTGGGTCTGATTCCAGGGACCAAGTGTGTTTCTTTGGCTGCCCTTTTTCCTCACACCATGTGAGTGCTGGGAATTGAACCCTGGGTCCACTAGAAGGGCAGCCAATACTATCAACCACTGAGCCATCTCTCCAATCTCTGTTTTGTTTTTCTTGATGCTTGGGTTGTTCTTTGCCATCGAAATAAATTTCACTTTTACTGTTGGCATTGCAAAGCTCAAGGTTTCTAGTACTGATTCTTTGGGTGGGGCAAATATATCCCAGTGGTAAAAGAGAGCTCTGACATGACTCCATGGCTGGAGGTCAAGACAGACTTCTGTACTCTGAACTTCAAGAAAAACTAGTGTGCCTGAAGTTCGGGGAAACAATGCTTAGGGGAGTGTAGGGCAGTGTCACTGTGACATCTGAGGATGTTTAAGAGGTTAAGGTATCACAGTTGACTCCAGGCACTGAGATAAAAAGCAAAGCAAAAGTCACACCTCCCGGAGGTCCAGGTGCATTTCCTCTGGGATTCACCACTGCAGACTGGCCTAGCTGGGAGCACGGCTTTCACCAGGAAGTGGGAGGCAGTCGTAGGACTTTTTTTTATTGTTTTGTTTTCTATTTTCCTGCAAAGTTGTAATTGGATGGTTGATAGCATTGTGAGACAGTGGGTTCATTTTGTTCTTTGGGGATCAAATCAATGTGTAATATAGCTGTCTTTCCCTTCTGTGCCAAAAGTGTTTGCTAAGTTGAGCCTTGAATCCCACCCTAAAAAATACAAATTCTTCTAGTGAAATGTCCAAACTCCACAGCCACTGTTTCCCATTGGGATGCCATTGGACCCCAGGGACTCAGCACACTGAGCAATGCTAAAACTTCACAAAGACAGCACTGGGCGCTGTGGGGGCCCTGTGGCATCATCACGGTGCTGTCTTTTAGGTTCTTGTCAAAGATCAAGGTCAGGCCAAACTGCCCCTTCTACTCCTTTTGAACATGGCAGGGGAGTCAACATCCTGTTGATTTTGTCACTTTTTCATAAGAGGTTCCAACACAGAGGCTCAGAGGGCAGAAAAAGAAACATAACAGCAAGAATTCTCAGTATGTAAGGGCACTTGCTGCCAAGCCTGAAGACTTAAGTTGGATCCCCAGAACCCACATAGTAGAAGAAGAGAGCCAACTCCTGAAAGTCATCCTCTGACCTACACACACACACTAGATACAAAACTTTTTTTTTTTTTTTTTTTTTTTTAAACAGAGGGTGATTCTCTCAGAGAAGCCTACACTCACACACTCTCCAATATGTCTTACTTTGTTGGTGGCTCTCTCATAATCCTGACTTTTCCTTTCTTAAAACATCCTTAAAAATGCAACTCTGCCTCAAGAAAAGAAAGAAAGAAAGAAAGAAAGAAAAGGAAAAAAAGAATGAAAATATAAACCTAATGTTTTAGTTTAGGGGAAAATGGTTAATGCACTAAGAAAACAAAATGGGTTAGACTAAAACCAATGGCATAGCTTCAAGAATGAGTACAATGTTTCTGCATCCAGCTCTAAATAAGGAAGTGGAAGCTGCTGCAGCCAGAACCTGTCCAGGCTCAGCAGGTTCTGATCATCCAACACCAGGGTCAAATCCTCCGGGAAGGTCCAGTAGACAGGACCAGAGGGGCCCATGAGAGAGCAGCAGCCACATGTCAGCCTGGAAACCATGGAGCACAGAGCACACTCCACAACTTCTAACCCCGTCCTTGGTCCTGGGCATTAACAGCTGGCATTTGGGGCCTCCCTAGGAAAGCCCTAGAGGTCAGGGAGGAGGGAGCGGCAGGCATGCTCTTAGCTCTGGGTTCCGGTGGCACTGAAGACAGTTCTCTCCGTTCTGTGGTGGGAATGGGTGGACTTACCTACTATTGATTTTGCTCCTCAGCTGTCATCAGAAAGGAAATGGAAGTCTCCTTCCTAGTAACTCAAAGTAAGGGAGGCTTCTGTAGGGCTACGGGTCCCTCACAATGACTTTGATGGTAAAACAAGAAAAAAAAAATCAAGGGCAAGTTTGTCATTTTTGCTTACTTTCCCACAGCAAAAACCGTCAGCCCCACGGTGATTTTCTGTCTGGCATAATACTTTTCCAGCAGAGCTCTGTCATAAGTGCCTTCCCACACAATTGGCGCCTTCCATGGGGTCACCGTCAAAACCTCTGGGCGGTTCCTGGTGACAAAACATGCAACACTGTGAGTCAGGACCTCTTTGCTAAGGTGAGAGACTGGCCAAGGAAGAGGAGGCCAGCAAGAGTCATGGTGACTGTAGCTGAATCCTGACTGAAGCATCATCCTAAATGCTTGAATAGGTGTGCCATGTGCCTGGGTGGCACTGGGTCCAGGGGGCTGCTCAAGTACCTTCTCAGATTCTCATCCGGTGACATCACGAGACACTGTCTGCTCATGTACCAAGGCTGACCTCAAACTCCCTATATAGCCCAGGATCACCCTGAACTTCTGTGCTGAGATTACAGGCATGTACCACCATGCCCTCTTCATGAGCTGCTGGGAATAGAATTCAGGTTCCATGTATGCTTGGCAGGCTCTCTACCAAACGGTCCACACTCCCAGCACTTCTGCATTTCTCTCCATCCCCTAACTGACATGTTTTGGTCATTTATTTATCCTTGAGAATATCATCAGAGCCCAAGAAGACCCTAAGATATGATGCAGGGGAATGAGAGAAAGAAGTCAGAGCTGAGAGAGAAAGTCTTCTTCCTGTTTTTTGCCAGAAAGGGCCCCAGACTCAGGGGATGCTGGTGTTATCGGCTTGCAGGATGAAGACACTCTAGAGACATGCATGTCCTCTCCCTTTGGCTAGCAGGCTATTGAGACAATGTGCTTCAAGAAATGGGGACTTCTCCAGCAGTCTCCTACTGCAGGAAGAGAAACGCCCAGGCTGGTACCAGCCAGAGGAGGAGTTCGTCTCACTAGAAGTGGTCTCAGAAGTTCTAACAACTTGTGAAAGCACTGAAAGACAGGCTGCTGTGGTGAGTCGGATGGGTTGATGGTGGGCAGTTAGCTATGCACACCTCTTGTCTAGTTCTTAAACCTAAACATCAGTAAGTGCCCCAAAGACTGAGTTAGGGGGGTCACTAGACCCAATAGGAACACATCAAATAATCCCCTTCCTCCCATTTTCACTACTGGAATGCATGTTTGCATGTGTGTGAGCGCAGTGTATGTACACCCCAGGCTGATGTTGGAAGTCTTTATTCACTGAGACAGGGTCTCTCATGTCAACCCAGAGTACATCAGTGCAGACTAGTCTAGCCAGCTACCTTGTTCTGGGGAGTTCTGTCTCCAGCTTTGAGGCAGTGAAATCACAGGCATGCTGCCACCCCCCAGCCAGCATTTTACACGGATGCTGGGAGCTGAACACATGCTAACAGAGTAGAGCAAGAGATTCGTCCATGTTACATCTCTCCGGTCTCCTTAATTAGTGCGTCGTCAGGGCTGCCCTGGGGTAACACTGGTGTTCCCAATTCCATTTTACAGACAAGGACACACAAGTGCCCAGAGAGGAAGGGCCTGGGGGTGGGGGTGGGGGGCAGCATAGCCAAGGCTGGAAAGCAGAGCTTTGGCAAAGACCCTTCCACCCGCCCACCTTGTCTCTTCACTAGTGACACAAAAGTGAGCAGGGGGCTTGTTTTAATTACTCAGAAAGCTCGAATGAGACCCAGCAACACCAACACAGGGAGCCAGGCAGGTAGTAACAGTGACTCTTGACAGTTGAGAGCAGGAAGGACAGAAGGCAACAGAGCCTAGCAGGGGTGGAGTCTAGGCAGCAGTACAGTGTAGACTCACACTGGATCTCCAACTCACTTGGGACAGACTGAAGTACACAGAGGGTAGGCCCTGGGCTGGGTGGAACACATGTTGGCCCAGCTTGTTTAGCTTTGCACAGTGTTTACCTAATATTTAAACCTAAAGCTCACCGGCTCCCAATGCTGACATCCCGCCTGTGTGGCTCTGGCCCTTACTTGTGCTTCCTGGGAGGTGGGGGCACCAACCAGGGAGGCACGTGGGTCTGCAAGGACAATGAGATACACTCTGATCCTCGATGGCTGCATGCATGTGGCCCTGCTGCTGTTATTGGAAGGATCCAAGAGGAATGTCCCCAGTACCTTCCACAGTGGCTGGAGGGCAGGGTGTGTACACACCTGTACTTGACATCAGCAACACTGCCATCTGCTACAGAGAGCCTGATACTCAGACTGGGGAAGGTGCCCGTCACCAGGCTCTGCTCTCTGACTCTTGAGATGACCTTGCCCTCCCCCCATCCCCAGCCTGTATAGCCTCTGGCTAGCCTCTTTGTGATCCGGGACAGCTGGAAGTACCCCCCTTATTATAGTGGCAGGGCAGGAAAAGACCTACTGGCTACCTGCTCTCCTAGACACCTGGTGCCTTGATGCCAGCTTGCTTGGAGTCTCAAAGTGAAACTTGGCTCCATCTCTAACATGTCATGTGTGCCTGCTGCAGGGTGGACACAGGTGCTTGGGCACCCTTAGTCATAAGAGATACCACAGTGACTCTACCAACCCTAGCCAGGCTTGTCCTTATCACAGGCCTGTGACATACTATATCCCCATTATCCAGGTATGAAAAACAAGGCTCAAGGAAAGCCATATAATTAGCCATGGATGCTGACAATTACATAAATGAACACAGAGCACTTCCCGTGAGTCTTGGTAGCATGTGAAGGTTCATTCTTTTGCGACAGGGTCATGTCTGAAGTCAACTGAATCCACTAGCTCATTAAGCAATATTATCTGCCAGTGCTCTGAACCAGAATCTACAGGGCTTACATTTCATGTGCAAGTAACTAATTGACTCCTATTTAATCAATTATGAACCTGGAACAGGATGGTTAAGTAATTTGCCTGAAGTCACACAGCTACTAAGGGGGAAAGCCTAGACTCAACCCAGAGAGGCTTTCTCTGGAGCCCAGTGCTTTGAGCCCCAGTCTCTATTGCTCCTGAGATGGACACTGGTGTGCTGATAAAATCTGGATAAATCCCATATTTACTTTTGTCCATTCAGTGGCTAACTGTGGCATCTCGATGTGATTGAGCCTTTGTGTTGCTGTTGCTTGTTAGGAGCTTGCAGGGCCTGGCTTTGTTGGCTCTCACTTTAGAGCTTTGCCCTGGTGGTATATTTAGTCCTGTTGCACTCTGTCTGGCCTTAATGAATGACAAGATTTCAAAACAAAAAGGGAAAGGAAATAAACATATACAGATTCTATTTCTCAAAACCAGCATTGTGAATGTCACCTCCCTCATATGTCACAGCCTTGTCTGCTGGGCTGTTAGTCTGGGCCTGTCAATGACGGAAGGATGTCTCAGGAACTCTAACCAAGCCAACTTCCTCAGCCAGTCTTGCTGCTATACATGAGTCACAGTATTATCTGCTGTTCCTTATGAGAAGCAGAATTTCTCTCCTTTTAATGAAAAGGAGTAGGCACATATTTATTCTTCTGTGTGTACCAGGAGCAAAGTACAAGCCTTTCACACCTGCATTTAATCTCTGCACCAACCACTGCCACTTTACAAGTCAAGTGAGGCCACGGAAGAGGAAGGGGACTCAGCCACTGATCACCTAATTTATACAAAGAGCCAAACTGAAGTCAATGACAACTAGTCCTTCCCCTTGAGAACCTCTGATTCCCTGTAGGAGATCAACCTGCCAGCACACTTAGCCACATGGCCTCTCAGGCCCTGTCTTCTAGAAACCGAGTAAGAACCCCAGCATCCACTTTGGTTACTTGAGCTGGAAGACAAAACAGTACTATTAAAAATTAATGCTAAATTAAAAATTGAAACATTCTATTTCCCAGCAGTTAATTGTTCAGCTCCATTGACAATTCCAGCACGTTGGTGGCCCTTGGCTAAGAAGCCAGACAACAGCCTGGAAATTCAGGTGCAAGGAGGTGGGAGGGAGGATGAGGGGGAGACCAGCCTCCAGGAGCAACCAGCCTGAAGCAACTTAGTCATCAAATCCACAACAATATCCCCAAAGGAAGCCACCGAGATACCGTCAACTGCCTTAGCCAAGATCACCACGACAGAGTTCTAAAAGGAGAGAGGAAAAGTGCCAGCAAAGAACCATTCAAATGCCTTCCTTCTGAAGGGGACACTCAGCACTGTGTGACATCGGGGCACTTGGCCCCGTGTGACCTCAGTGTGTCCATATCCACCATACAGGGCAAAAGCTTCTGGGAAAATCACAGGCCTCCTGGAATAAAGCATTGGGGGCTCTAGGTTACTAAGACTTGGTTTTCAATTCGATGTCTTTATGCAGAGGTACATTAATGGTATCCAGGGGTTATCCAGAGAAGTGTTAGAACTCTGTGAATTAGGCCAGCAAGATGGCTCAGCAGGCAGAGGCACTTGCAGGAAACCTGACAAGCAGAGTTTGATCTCCAGTACCCACACAGTGGTGGGAAGAGAACCAACTCACACAAGCTGTCCTCTGACTTCTCCATGAGTGCCTTGTCACAGGTGCACAAATAAGTCAATATTTAAAATTCTTAAGAATCACATAGTAAACTGAAGAAAAGATATGGAGCGCACATCACCCAACCACCAAAGACCTGATGGCAGCATGAGTGGGTGGTGGCTGCGCAGTGGAGAAAGGATGTAGACAGGACTGGGAGCAAGAACTGATAAAAGAATGAAGACTTAGTGGACAAAGGAACAATTCTCCCAGACTCAGACTGAGCTGTTTACTAAGGGTGGAAGCGAGAAAGAACAGGGCAAGGTGGAACTGAGGAGTCCCTGTGGGTCTTATGGGCAAAGAGAGATGGTAGGCAGGCAGGTCGGCCAGTACAGGCCAGGGCTGAGGCGCACTCGGGCTGAAGACACGGCTGCGACAGTCGGCCTCCCCACGCTATCTGAGGCCAGGAAATGGATAGAGGCATGATGGAAAACAGCACAAAGAAGATGCAGTGTGGAAATGCCCAGAAACTCCTGGCAGGAAGAGGGAGCCCGCCTTGCTGGGACAGTGAGAGGAAGATGACCAGGAGGGGAAAAGACGGAAGGCAGAGAGCACAATGTGGAAATGTGCGTGCACGACACTGTCCCAGCTCTGCGGCAGTTTACAGAAAGGATACATCCACAGCACATAAAAATACTGTTTCCTCATTCACTCCTTCATCTAGTCACTCACTTATTCAAGAAATAGATTTTGGTGCCTTGAGAAAGCTTCAGTGTGATGGTGGTTCAAGCCAATACTCTTTATTTGTGTGTGCATGGGTAGATATATGTATGTGTGTATATGTGTGTGTGTACGTGTGTGTTTGTGTATGTATGCGTGTATGTATGTATATGTGTGTGTGTGTATGTATTTGTGTGTGTGTAGACCAGAGAACAATCTTGGGTGTTCTTCCTCAGGTGCCATTCATTTTTTTTTTTTTTTTTGAGACACAATTTCTCACAGGCCTAAAACTCATAAATTAGGACAAAGTAGCTGACGAGCAAGGCTTAGGGATCACCTGCCCCACCTCCCCATTTGTTGTTTGCTCGTGTAATGAGTAATTCCATGGCCCCAAATCTCTTAGCTCATGAGTCCTACTTCAGGGATGAGGAGTCATCTGAATCTAGAGAGGATTTTCCTGGCCCACTCCAGACCCTGCAGACTTCCATAGATCCTATGCGGCCTATGTTTTATGCTTTACCTACCACCGGACATTTCTTGTTGCAATTACCCCAGTGCTCAGTCTGTTTGACTCATAGTACCCAGACATCAGTTTCTTAGCCAAAGCCCACTGATGAAGGTCTAATAGATGCTAAGACACCCGCTTCCCACCAGCACCACACTTAGCGCGCCCCAGCGCGCCTGCCCCACCCCCAGCTCCGACCTCAGTGCACTGGGTCTCCATCCTTACTTTGGATTAAACCAGTCCCACAGCCGAAGCTCTTCAATGCTGTCTTCCTTCTGCTGCTTTTCTCTCCCTCTTTCTACGTCCTCTTCTTGGTAACTGTGGGTCCTGTGTACAAAAAGAAAAACAGCTGGGTGAGGTCAGATGGCTGCGCAGTGGTGCTCTCTCATGACTTGTGTCTTGGGTGGAGAGAGAGCGCATCACTTACAACACTAGGCATGGATTCCACATACTTCAGGCAAAGGTGCAGCATTTGTCTCTCTTGCCACCATGTAGGTCAGCAGTTAGGTTTCAAAGACCCTGTAACCCTCGGTTATCCCAGGAGTGTCCTACTGAAATGTCTATTCTGAACTTTAAACTTCAGCCTTAACTTTACCCTTAACTGGAAAAAGGGTACAGGAAAGAGGGAAAGAGAGAGTCCAGAATTCCACCTGTAAGGTTCCTTTGAACTGGTGAGATGGCTCCTTCAGTAACACTGCTTGTCATGAAAGCCTGATAACCTGGGTTTGATTCCCAGAACCCACAGTGGAAAGACAGAAATGTCTCCTGAAAGTTGTCTTCTGACCTCATGTGTGTTGTGGCATGCATGTATCTGCATTCATATACACATCACACACACACACACACACACACACACACACTCTCATATACACATATGCATTCACACACATATCACTCATACTCACACTCATCACACACATACACATTGCACACACATAACACAACCACATACACACATCACACACACCACATGCAAACACACACACACATGCACATATCACATATCTATCACACATACACATGCACACATCACACACACCACATGCAAACATACATCTCACACACACACACACACACACACACAAACACACACACACACACACACACACACACACAATTAAAAACAGCAACAACAAAAGGGACTCCTTGAATGAGTTCAGTAAGCCAGAAAGAGTGAGTGTGGTAAGGTCACAGCTCTGAGTGTGGTGGATGAAGAACCCATCCCAATCCCTTACCCATTGTTAAGCCAGCTTGGGAGCCACCACCAGTTCTTCTGCCTGCTGCTGTCACCAACCTCTGGAATTCTAGGAAATGGAAAAGCATATTAACATTTCTAGAAAACAAGGCAGTCTCCAGCTGAACGGAGGGGGTTTCTAGTGTTTAAGTGCCAGACATGACTATTAAAAGTGAATTTTATCAGGGCAGTGGTGGTACAGACCTTTAATCCCAGCACTCAGGAGGCAGAGGCAGGCGGATCTCTGTGAGTTCAAGGCCAGCCTGGTCTATAGAGCAAGTTCCAGGATAGCTAGAGCTATTACATAAAGAAATTCTATCTCAAAAAACAAATAAACAAACAAAAGGGGAATTTTAAGCTGTTAGTTCATAAAAAAAGGGGGGTGGGAGGGAGAAGCAAAAGCCTGAGCTAAAAGGAAGAGGCCAGACCAGCTGTCCTTTTCCCAGGAGCCCCCAGGACTTTGTTCCCTAGTCTGGAATCCCTGAAGGATGAGGGGCAGAAAAAACAATGATGGGGACCCTTGGGACACATAAGCCTGTGGCCCAAAGCTCTGCTTGCTAAGGGAGTGACTATGGTAATGACCAATGAGACAGTAGACATGTAAGCGCTTGGTGACAGAACTTGGCTACTATGAGGGATTATCTTTTGTTTTTAATTATTTTAATTTCATATGCATTAGTGGTTTTTGCCTCCATGTATGTCCATATGAGGGTGTTAGACATCCTGGAATTGGAGTTACAGACTATTGTCAGCTGCCATGTATGTGCTGGGAATTGAACTTAGGACCTTTGGAAGAGCAGCTAGTGCTCTTAACCATTGAGCCATCTTCCTAGCCCCATGGGGGTAATCTTAATTAAAACAAAAAACAAACCATGCATCTTCCAGAGAATGATAGTGCAAATGTTTGTGTGTGTGTGTGTGTGTGTGTGTGTGTGTGTGTGTGTGTGTGTTACAAAGGCCAGTCTGAGAAAAATTCCAGTTGCCCAATCTGCTTTGTGAAGTCTGAGGACTGACAAAGGAGAAGTTAGAAAACTGCCCCAATTTGAGATAATTTGCATACTCTCTACTTGTGAAAAATCTCTAATTTGGGGTCTCTAGGATGAGAAAAAAAGGGGGGAAGTTGGAATAAGGTGGCAAGATTACCCTGAACAGGGACACAGTATTAGGGGAGAAGGGTCCTGTTGTGTAGTTCAGGCTAATCCTCCCACTTGGCCTTTGGCTGAGATGAAAGGCAAACTTCACCAATCCTGGCTAAGAAAACCACTATAGAGTTCATCCGGAAGTGTCTGAGATGGTTAATGAACCAAAGGTGTGATTATGATAAGTGGGAAACACCATAAGAATAAAATCACAGGAAATAGAAAAAGAGAGACCAACAAGATGTCTCAGTGGGTAAAGAGGTACTTGCTACCAAGTCTGATGACCTGAGTTCAATTCCTGGAACCCATATGGTAGAAGGAAAGAACCAAGTTATCCTTTGATCACCACATGTACACATGCAGTCACACAAACATGTGCATACACACAGAGAGACAAACACAGACACCCCAAAACACAAAGACACACACAGAGACACATACAAACCAAGATACACAGACACACAGAGACATACACACAGAGACATACACAGACACAGATACACACAGACACAGATACACACAGACACACAGACACACCACAGAGACATATACAGACACAGATACACACAGACACAGATACACACAGACACACAGACACAGACACACACAGAGATACACACACAGAGATACACACACACACAGACACTTAGATACACACACACACACACACACACACACACACACAAACACACACACACACAGCGACAAACGACACACACACACACACACACACGATTTTTTTAACAATGAAATATTAGTGGTCAGGAACACTGCTCCATAGGTAAAGTGCTTGTCTCAGACACATGAGGACCTGAGTTCAGATTCCCAGTACCCACACTGAAGTCGGGGAGAGTTGTGTTCATCTAGAATCCAGCACTTGTGGAGAGGTGGAGACAAAAGGATCCCGTGGCCAGTCAGTGTAGCCAAAAATGATGATCTCTGGGTTTAGTGAGAAACTTTTTTTTTTTTTTTTTTTTTTTTTGGTTTTTTGAGACAGGGTTTCTCTGTGTAGCTTTGGAGCCTATCCTGGCACTTGCTCTGGAGACCAGGCTGGCCTCGAACTCACAGAGATCCACCTGCCTCTGCCTCCCGAGTGCTGGGATTAAAGGCATGAGCCACCAATGCCCGGCATCAGTGAGAAACTTTTGTCTCCAAAATTAAGGTAGAGAATAATAGGGAAAGATACTCAAAGTTGCCTCCTGGCCCACAATGGTACACACATAGGCAGACATACCTACAGAAACATGCACACACATGCACATACCCCCCCCCCCCCCCCAATGATCTGGTAACCCCAGGATGCATTTTCACGTGACCTTGGCCATTCCAAATACAATTTTCAAGTTTGTTCTCATTTTTAAGCTGAGGTGTGGGCTTTGTGGGTTTGAGCATGTAGCTAAGGTCCCTCAGCAGTAAGGACACAATTCAGATAATGTCTGGGAGTAGATTACAGTCAAAAAGGGTAAGGTATGGCACAAGCAGTTAAGGAGAATAATTTATTCCAAGCTTCCTGGCCACCACACCAAAGACAGGAAAATATAGCTTAGCAAAGCTCCCCACTCAGTCAGACAGATGCCACCATTTGAAGAGTCCCCTGAGCAGAACTTAGGGCAAAACATGTCACTATTCTATAAAGCCCAGTGTGGGGACTGGCAGAGTATAGTCCTGACCCCAGGGCCCTAGGCATCCCTCCTTCTCCTTGTCCCCCACCCCACCCCCACTGTGGCCTGAGCACCCCTAGGGGCTGGCATGTAGAGAATCTACTGCAGAGGGCTAAAAGACCAGTGATGGAAATATCAGGTAGATGTGCAGGTTCAGAGCACTTACTTCATGTGATATATCCACAAGAAGGAGCCTTCTGGGCTAAGGGCAAACAAGAAACAAAAAGATGTCACTTTACTTTTAGTTCTCTGAGAGGTTTCACTGTTTCTAACTCCTCCCAGGCTCCACCTTCCCTTGAGACCAGTGACAAAGGCCCTGGTGATTCCCACAAGCAATGCCAAGGAAGGGAAGGGGCATTTGACAGTCTCAATTCCTGTTTTTGTTTGGGGGAATTTTTCCCCCTCTCTTTTTCTCATTTAAGGTTGGTTAGCTGTTCTGGACAGGAAGGCCCCCCTGGACAGGAAGGTCCCCCTCTATGCTGGGCAGAGAGGAAGCCTGAGGCTGGGGGGGACGGGGGACGGACACATTGGTGGGTAACCATCTCACATGGAGGATTCCACATTTCTCAGATGTTGGACAATGAGGAAGCGTGGGGGAAGGGGGTGGAGGCATCGAGGGCAGCCATCCCACACAGAGGATCTCTCTCCCTCAGGAACCAGAGCCTGGCACATTCAGCTCAGATCCCTTAAACAGCTCAGACCCCATGGGCATCGCCTTAACAAGCCAAGGCAGTGCGGCTAACTTGATGCCTGGAAGGCTAGGCCAGGGACTTTAGGGACTCACCTCTATTCATTCTCTAAGTACTTGCTGGGCTTGTCCTCGGCTGCATGCCAGGGCAGATACCATCTTTACCCATGAGCACAATACAATGTAACAGAGAAGGCAGGCCAGTCACACAGCTACTTAAGTTCCTAACCAAGGAGTGCAAGAGACGGGATAAGCAAGCATGGGTTCTTCTAAGGAGGACCTGGCAAGATTCCTCGAGAAAGCAATGTATTCTGAAGGGTGAAGAGAAGTTCACCAAGATGAAAAGACACAGAGAAGTGTTCCCAACAGAATAAACAATATGCAAAGGCCCTGAGGCAGGAAGTATCAGCAAAGAAAAGCAAAGAGCCAGAGCTTGCAGGACCTACTGGCCATCTGCCTGTGAAGAACTGTTAGAAAGCCAACGTGCAGTGTGGACAGCAGTCAGGTATGGCAGTGATCAAGGCAGCCATGGCTCATGATAGTACTGACCACACAGAGACTTCTGGGGAATATAAATAATGCGACCTCTAGAAGGGCATGGTGGCTTGGTGCCTGTAATTACAGCCTTGGGCAGCAGTGGCCATAAGTTTGAGGCCTCCCTGGTCTGCATAGCAATGACCACACAGTCAGGACTACATACTGAGAACCTGTCCCCAAAACAAAACAAAACCAGTGACAGAACTCAGAGCCTCACTAAATTATTCAGTTCTGTGCAGAGACACTGTGCCCAAGTCCTATGCCTGAATTTGTTCACTGGTATATCCCATCACTGTCTCTTTAGTCCTTATCTCCTCTCCCTACTTCCTCCCTGTGCTGGAGCTCAAGCCTTCTCCTAGGGATCAAGCACCTGCCTTCCTGCCCTCTTACCCCCTCCACCTGTCTTCCTGCCCTCTGACCCCTCCAGCTTCTCCCGGAGACCTTCACTCCAGGACCAAGCCTTAAAGTTCCTGTCTCCTAAATCAGTGAATTGATGTGGTGCCTTGGTGAACCTAGCCAGGCACTATTCCAGGCAATTTACATCCAGATGCTTAGTGAATCCTCACACCACTGTAGCCACTCTGTCTCCACCCTCACCCTGAAGAGCAGGGGTGTCCCATGAGCCTTCTCACGGAACTTCTGCTAATGAAGTGTGGAACCCCCATATCTGAGTTTGGTGAGGGCAAGGAAGGGAAAGAGACAATGAGTAGGGAAAGGAAACAATGAGCAGGGGAGACAATGAAGAGAAGGGGAGACAATGGGGAGAAGGGGAGACAATGAGAAGGGGAGACAATGAAGAAAAGGGGAGAGAATGAGGAGAAGGGGAGACAATGAGGAGTAAGGGGAGACAAAGAGGAGAAGGGGAGACAATGAGGAGTAAGGGGAGACAAAGAGGAGAAGGGGAGACAATGAGGAGAAGGGGGCAATGAAGAGAATGGGGACACAACCCAACATTCAGAACCCTGCCTGGCATTCAGGGAACTATTTTGTAGCTAAAGTTAACCCATTTGTCGCATCTCTCTCTCTCTCTTTTTTTTAAGTCTTCCCGTTGTCGCCCAGACTCCTTCAAATGTAGCCACACTAAACTGACATTTCCACATGCACCCATCCACCAGGTGCAGCTCAAAAGCCACCTCTTCCATGCTTCCCATCCCCATCCCAGGGTAGTGCCTTGCCCATAGGATATGCTTCCTGAGTGTCTGTAAATTGAATCTCCTTACAGGCTGGGCAGTCTCTGCCTCCTTATCTCTACCCCCAAGTCCTTCATCCACTTTGAATCACTGGTTACTCATCCACAGGTCTCACCTGTTCAGATCCTAACACCTATGGGCAGGAGCTCCATTTGGCCTCCATGTCATTGTGTACCCAGCAGACAGGAGCTCTAGTGGAGTCTGGGACAAAGGATCACTAGATCCAATTCTACTTAGAACAAATATGCAGACCACTACTGAGCCAGCCCCCAAGGCTGGTCTCCATTTGGTCACCTGAATATGAGGGCGTGGCTAAAGGAAGGGTTATGTACAAAGTAAGAGAGTGACTGACTCACAGACAGGTAACGGGGGACCTAAGTTTTCTCAAGATGTGATCACGAAATATTCTTGAGACTTGGTGTCCTCATCAAGACATCCAAAGTTATTCCCACTTTGCAGACACAGTCTAGGACTTGGCACATGCTCAGTAACTTCCAGCTACCTTCATCATCTTCTTTGTTGTTGTTATTTTATTAACTTTTTTGGGGGGCGGGGTTTTAAGACAGGGTTTCTCTGTGACTTTGGAGGCTGTCCTGGAACTAGCTCTTGTAGACCAGGCTGGTCTTGAATTCACAGAGATCTGCCTGCCTCTGCCGCCTGAGTGCTGGGATTAAAGGCGTGTGCCACCAACACCTGGCTATTTTATTAACTTTTTTTTTTTTTTTTTGGTTTTTCGAGACAGGGTTTCTCTGTGTAGTTTTGGAGCCTATCCTGGCACTCACTCTGGAGACCAGGCTGGCCTCGAACTATTTTATTAACTTTTAAGGTTTCGTCCAGCTCAAAAATATAGTACTGTATTCTCAAACAGCTTCAAATCAAATGCTCTCCTGGGTTATGTTCTTTTCATCTATTTATTTATTGGTTGATTGATTGATATTAAAAATGTTTTCCGTGTGTAGGTATTTTGCCTGTATGTATGTTTATGCATCACTTCTGGGCCGGTACCCATGGATGCCAGAAGATGGTACCAGATTCCTGAAATGGAGTTACAGATGGCTGTGAGCCACCATGTAGGTGTTGGGAACTAAACCTGGGCCTGGTACCCATGGGGGCTAGACGAGGGTGCCAGATCCCTGATACTAGAGTTACAGATGGTTGTGAACCACTATGTGGGTGCTGAGAACTAAATCTGGGTCCTCTGAATAACACTGAACCATCTCTCCAGCCCCTAGTAGTATTTTTTGAGACAGGATCTCACTGCAGGATCTTGACTGGCCCCAAGGCAATATTATTTTTAAATGATTTATTTGCTAGTTGCTGGATGAAGTCGGTTATATTTAAATCCTTTTGAGTCCAGAGCCACCTGCCTCTCTAGAGTGAATGCCCTTGGTCCACTTGGGATCATTGCATAGCCAGTTTGGACAGTGGCAGAGACCTGCACTCTTCCTGCAGAAAATCAAGTTAGAAGACAATGTCTCTAGAGTACTCAGTATCAAACAACTGCCCCGAAAAGCAGCCAGAACCTCCTGTAGCCATGATGCTCAGAGCACATGCTTGCAGCAAAAAGACAATTCTCCTGAGATACCATGCACATATGTGCTCTCTTGAGCCTTCATTTTGTGTGTGTGTGTGTGTGTGTGAGAGAGAGAGAGAGAGAGAGAGAGAGAGAGAGAGGGAGAGAGGGAGGGAGAGAGGGAAAGAGAGAGAGAGAGAGAGAGAGAGCACTCTACCATTGAGCTGTGTTTTTTATTGTTTTGTTTTTTTCAGGTGGGCCTTACCTTACTATGTAACCCAGGTTGGCTTCAACTCAAAGGGATCCCTGCCTTGGACCATTGAGCTGTGTTTTTTTGTTGTTTTGTTTTTTTCAGGTGGGCCTTACCTTACTTACTATGTAACCCAGGTTGGCTTCAACTCAAAGGGATCCCTGCCTTGGCCAGTCGTGTGTGGGGATTGAAGGCATGATCCACCACACTGGGATATTATCCCCGTTTTTAAAGGTAGGGTACTGAAGAGTAGAGTAACTATGTAGCTTGCCCAAGGTCACACAGTCAGTAAATGGAAGCCCAGGACACACCCGGCAGTCTGGCTTTATGGTCTAGCCAGGATGCTCTTCAGCCCCCAAGAGCCTAAGGGTCACCATACCCAACAGGTGAGTCATTTCTTACTTGAACTAGCTTCCTCAATTCAAATGACCCACTCTCCAGACCTTCTAAGTCACACTCTTAGCTTGTCACGCCTTTCTCAAACTTAGCTATTCAGAATGAAACAGCAGAACGTCCTACAAGTGGTTACACATCTGTCACACCTTGAAACTCATATCTTTTGCATTCTGACTGGAGGTTGCCCCTCCTAGGGGTTTGCTGGCTCATCCAACTTTAAAATTCAAAATTCTGAAAGAGATAAATGAGATGTTAACCTAGACTACTAGAACTCTTGGGCCACTAAAACATTCCACTGAAAATAGTCACCTTTGAGACAGTTCCTACAGTTAGCTGTACAAGGAATGCACTAGTTGAAGGTGAATGGAGCTCAGCCAGTGTCCCTTCTTAGGGACTTTCTAGGGTTTTGCTGTGGAGCTCTATCTCCCCCTGAGACCACTGGCACTGGAGCTTCCAGAAGCAGAGGCAGACAATAGATTTTAATTCACAGTTGAGTTCAATGGCTGAGAAACAATTAATTCATCTTGCTTTCCAAAGCTTGGGGGGGGCAGATATCCAGGCACAAATGAATCACCAGTAAAATTTAGTATGTGTTTTTGCACCAAAGCCAACCACTGGGACGGCTCCCTTAAACCTGAAAAATATTTTAGGATTGCAGGACTTAGGGCTGGTTTCTTGCGGAATTCCTATCTGAATTTTATTTCTCTTTTTTCCTTTATTTTAAAATTCTATGTGTGCAAGTGTTTTGCCTGTATGTATGTATGGGCACCACTTGTGTGTGTGGTTCCCATGGAGTCTAGAAAACAATATAGGATCCTCTGGAACTGGATTACAGGTATTTGTGAGCCACCTTGTGGGTGATGGGAATCTAACCCAGGTCCTTTGAAAAAGCAGCCGTGCTCTTAACTTCTGAGAAACCTCTCCTGTCCCTTTATTTTATTGAATTTGATTTGAGTCAGGGTCTCCCTGTAAAGTTATGGCTGGCCTGGAAGTCACTATGTAGATAACCTTGGCCTCAAACACGTGTGATCCTCTTGCCTCTGCGTTCCAAATATAATGATTCCATGCATGTACCATCCTGCCTGGCTTGAAATTTCTGTATCTACTTGTACAAATTACTTGAGACTTGTGTTTTTGGCTTAATGTGTGTTCTCTCTGGGTTTAGCCTTCAGAAATGCAAGATACTAGGAGCATGGCAAGAAGGAAGATAATTACTTAGGCAGAAGTTACCTGAATGGTCTGTGGTTTTAATGACTATCCAGGGCTGGGAGAATACAGGAAGGGTGGAATACTGATTATGGCTAATTTCCTCATGTTCACGATGCTTAGTTACTCAGCTGGCACTAGTCACACAGAATGAAAACAGCCTTTCCATCTCCATAATTCTATCTGGTTTCATAATTACCTGTTGACATATTCCCAAAACACGACAACCACAGTTGAGACAACCAGCATCGACAGGACAACTTTTCCCTTGATATTCATTATTTTCTCCTGTGGGAGGAGGGGGAGGGAAAATAGATTAAATAAATTAAATCTTGAGTGAGAGATGGTTTCTTGGGTGGGAGAAACAGCTCAGTGGTTAAGAACACTTGCTGGTTTCAGTTCCCAGCATCCAAATGGGATGCACAAAGTCAGTAACTCCAGTTCCAGAGGATCTGATGGCCTCCCTCTTTTGGCCTCCATGGGTACCAAACATATGGGTGGTGGACATACGCAGGCAAAACACTCGCACACATAGAATATTCTAAATAATAAAAATAACAAAAGGTCTCTGCCCACATCGTTTCTAACAGGATACATCCGTGTGTAATTCAATAGATCTGAGATGTGTGTCCCTGCACAAGTGCAGACTAGTGATGGCAAATTAGGCCAGTGCCGTTAATGAGACTTCATGCTCTGGGAAGGATGCTGGAGCTGCAGCCCCAGCCCCACCCCCAGCCATGTGGTCTTGGGCAAGTGAGGAGATAGGTGTTAGAACGATTAACTGTTAGTTCCACAGAACTCCTGTGACCTCAGATTCAGAGCACCTCTGACTCTGGGGGAGGCCTGCCCACTCCCCAACCCTGTTGTCCCTGGAGTGCTAATGACACATTCCAACACCTCTTTATAATGGAGGCCTTGCCCACTTTCCAGCCCCACCCAATTCACTCACACACACCCACAAGCAAGCAAACTGCTGGAACTACCAGGGGAAACTAGGAAAGAAAGGGAGGGGCTGATGGGCAGAAAATAAGAGGCTGGGAAGCACTTCAGTGTGGTGACCAGGGAAGGCAAGATGTGGAAGGGACATAAAAGGTGACTGTTGGAGATGAAGACAGGATGTAAGGAGGTGGGGGAGGGCCTCTGTGGAGCGTCATCCATGATGGGCTAGCCAAACAGAAAGCTTTAGAACATAAAACAAAACTGCACCTCCAAACTGCTGCACAAGAAGAGGTTTGGAGGGCAGGAAGAAGGTGAGCAGAGTGGACAGAGCTCTCAAAGGTCCACCGGGAGTTTGGGAGGCACCAGAGCCTTTGGGGTGGGGAAGAACAGGGACCTCAGTCTTGACAACATGGCTACTGATATAACCAAGAGTCATGAAGAACAGGATCTGTGTTCAGAGACCTGTTCACCTGCTGAGGGGGAGGAGGAGGGAACCAGAACCCCAGCATTAGTGGGGAAAGTCACAGACTGTTCTAATGGCCAAAGAGATGGCACAATTGTATTGGACATCTGCATGTTGCTATCCCTATGTTAGGAAGTTTTGATGTAGCACTTTGATACCTTACAGCACTCCTGAGTGGGGAGAAATCGTTCCTGGAGACTTGCCAGCTCTCTGAGATTCCAAGAGCTCAGACAGGACATGCCTTTGACCCACAGATGAGCCAGCCACTCCAGAGCTAAGCCTCCTCTATCTGGCCCATGCACCTCACAAGGCAACAGGACCTGGCCTTATTGCCCAGAGCATCAGACACCTAGGGACCAGGCCTACCAAAAAGAACCCTGAGTAGACAGATCTTAACTGCTTGCTCTGCCCTCCTGGCCACTCCTATAGACCCCAGCTTCCAACTCTCAGTATCACTGTAGTGAGTGGTGCTCCAGAGACCCCAAAAAGAAAGGGTAGCTAGGAAACCCATAAGAAGGCAGACTGACCAAGCCCGAGCAGCGCTCCTCCTCCATGGTCTCCACATCCGTTCCTGCTCCAGGTTCCTGCTCTGAGTTCCTGCCCTGACTTCCTTCAGTGATGTAGTGTGAAGTGATGTAGTGTGACCTGAGAATTGTAAGTTGAAATAACCCCTTTCCTCCCAAGTTGCCTTTGGCCATGGTGTTTATCATAGTAATAGGAACCCTAACTAAGACAGAGTCCCAGGGATTGAACTCAGGTCATCAGGCTTGGCAGCAGGCACCTTTACCTGCTGAGTCATCTCATTTTCCTTTTCTTCTTAGGTATGTAGCTAGGAAAAGGGGCCGTTCGAAGAGCTGGTTTCTTTCTTTCTTTCTTTCTTTCTTTCTTTCTTTCTTTCTTTCTGTCGTTCGAAGAGCTGGTTTCTTTCTTTCTTTTTTTCTTTCTTTCTTTCTTTCAGATTTTATTTATTATGTATACAGTCTTCCGCCTGCATGCCAGCAGAGGGCACCAGATCTCATTCAAGGTGGTTGTGAGCCACCATGTGGTTGCCGGGAATTGAACTCAGGACCTCTGGAAGAACAGTGAGTACTCTTAACTGCTGAGCCATCTCTCCAGCCCCTGAAGAGCTGGTTTCTTAATGAGCTCAACACAGACATAAGAAGAAACATCTGCAGACCAGCAGAAGACTTCCAGATTAATTCTAGAAGTGAATGCAGAGACTAGATCCAAATGCTGTAAATCAGCTGAGTTTAGCTCAGAGCCTTCCTCCTGCACATGAGCACTGGGCAGGCCTTGAGAGCACAGCTTTAGTGTAATACAGTTCATTCACTGCAAGTTTAGCCCAGAGGCTGTGGAGTTTTTTTTTAAAGGCCGAGTGACCAGGACAACAGCTGGTCCCCAGTCCTCACCCTCACTTCCTAAGCCTACTTCCCCTACCTTATCTCCCACCCAACCAGCGACACACACCTCAAACCTGTTCAACTGAACCACTCAGAAGCCTGTCCATGGACTCCCTAGTTTACTACAGGCTGAGCCAAGCAGGCTCGAACGCTGGGCATAAAAAGCCCTAGTCAAGGCTACTCATCTTCTGGTCCCCTCCCTGACTTTTCAGGAAGGTGCATTTCTGCTTCCAGGGAGCTTTGGTTGTTCTTCCACTAGCTCCTCATTCTGTGTGTGAAGTAATGACTTGGGTGACCGTGGAGTTTTCCAAGTCCTAGTTCTCTGAGCCAAGCCCACCTATACTAAGAAACAGACTTCATGGCTCTCAAGGATGCCCCACAGCAGACTGAGAGCCAGAGAAGATCTGTCTGAGGCTGTGGCAGTGGGTCAGGAATTGAGTCCTCACTTCTTTTTTTTTTTCTAAATTTATCTATATATTTATTTCACGTGCATTGCAACCACAGACAGTTGTGAGGTGCTATGTGGTACCTCATGTGCCATGTGAACCCGTGTCTTCTGGAAGAGCAGCCAGTGCTCTTTACCTCTGAGCCATCTCTCCAGCCCCTTCAGTCCTAATTTCACACAAGAAACTACAGTTCCTCATCCCTCATCCACATCTCTATAAAAATTTTGGAAAACCAAACATCCTTTTGTAATTCAAGGAGCAGTACAGGCCCAACTGATATTACATCTCTAGAGGTGAACATTAATGTGTCCTGTTAGTTGGTTCAGCTGCATGGGAGTGCATCACAGAGGCTAAGCAATCATCTGCCCCAAAGTCTGATTTCAGCCTCTCTGGGCCCAGAACTTCAGATTAGAGCATGGGGACCTCAACTAGAACAAATTAAAGTGGTTTCCTTCTTTTGACAATGGGGGTAAGGACAGTGACGGGAGAATGCAAATTTGAGGCCAGCCTGGGCTACACACAGCAAGACTATTTCAAATAACAAATAAGGGCCAGTGAGCTAGCTCTATATGTAACAAGCCGAGAAAACCTGTGACCTGAGGCTGATACCCAAAATGTGCCATGGAAGGAGAGGATTGGCTCCTAAGTGGTTTCCTCTGACCACCACATGTGCATTCAGGCATATGAGCCAACACCACACACACACACACACACACACACACACACACACACACACACACACACAGGAGGCAGAAACAGGCAGATCATTGTGAACTCCAGGACTACATAGTGAGACCCTGCCTCAGGAGGGGGAGAGAGAGAGAGAGAGAGAGAGAGAGAGAGAGAGAGAGAGAGAGAGAGAGAGAGAGAGACACAGTAATGATCTCAGAACCGTGCCATAACATAGGATACATGCTTTTTCAAAATGTTAGTCTTCATTGCTGATCTTCATAAGAGAGGCTTCTGGGAGGTCTGCTGAAAATGAGGGCTGACACTTCAAACATGCTGAAAACATTTGGAGGAAGGAGAACTCTGAACTGAGAACAGCTTATACAAATGGATGCAAATTAAGGTTTCGCCATCTGTTCCAGCTCAGCCTGAGTAAGCTGCTCCAAAGGGAGACTAACTTCAATTTCTCTAATCAAGTCCTAGGACAGCCTGTGCTTGCTGAGAGGCAAGGGTGACCATTGGCTTCGAGGCTCAGCTGCACCAACCCCACTTACCAAGGATCAAATGCAAAGCCTCTCCCAACTGGAAGGGGCATGACACAGAGCAACAACATTGCCTGTGTCAGAGGCAGTCCACACCCGCACACCTCTGGATCCCCACCATCAACATCCTGTAGGTGGGGGTGGTGTTTTTAGATTTCAGGAATTCACATCAGAGGTGGCTCTCAAAACACATTTCTTTCTGGGCTTCACTGATAGCTTAAAACACCTGCCTGTTGGCCATGGCTAAGCACCCCACTGGCGAGCCTTGCAAACCGAAAAGCTGTGGAGTAAAGTGCTAGAAATGGGCACAACATGCTTCCTAGAATCTTCCTAGAAACCCAAGTCCCCAGAGAAGAAGGGCTGGCCGGCCGGCTGGCCAATTAGTCTTTTAAAACCATTTTGTATTTCTTTCTGGAAGAATGAGACATTTGGCAGACAATGTGGCCTACAACTCCTTCAATATGTGTCTCTCAGAACTTTCAAAACTGTACTTCTGAAGAGTGGTAGGCAGCTGTCTTCCCTGCCAGGTAAGAAATAAGTTTGACTTCTTTCAGGTATTGGCTCCAAGATGACAATAATATTAATACTAATACTACTACTAATAATAATAATGAGGAGGAGGAGGAGGAGGAGACGGTGGGTGAGGGAGAAAGGGGGGAAGGAAGGAAGGAAAAAAGGAAAGAAGGAAAGAAGGACCAAAAAGGGCCTTGGGCATATGCAGCCAAGTCACCGACAAACTATGCTTGGTGTATGCCCAAGGACAAGGCCATTAAGAAGTTCATCATTCGGTTACTGTAGAGGCTGCTGCCACCAGGGACATTTCCTAAGCAAGAGTCTTCGATGCTCATGTACTTCCCAAACTCTATGTCAAGCTGTATTACTGTGTGATCTGTGCTCTTCTTAGCAAGTTGGTCAGGAATTGATCTCATGAAGCCAGCCTGGAAGGACCAAACGCCACCACCGTGATTTAGACCTACAGTTGCTCCCCCTCAACCTCCACCACATAAAGAGGTGGCTGCAGATAGGCAGAAGAAAAAACATCTGGGAAAAGTAAAAATGGAAGTTATACTTGTTATACTTAAAAAAAAAGAAAAGAAGTAAATTTGAATGATACAGGAGACTCCTGGGTGACCTTAGGTGGCCCAGTGGTTGTCTGTGATGCCACCTCTGAGATCATCTGACTTAATGCTCTTATCATCTCTGTCTCTAACTCCATCCTCTGGCCACTCCCAGACTCAATTCTGCAGAGTTTGGCTCCTGCATTGGTTCTCAGAAGAGCACCTGCACCCCAACTTCTGGGACCTATGCTGACACTGGTGGCATTTCACAAAGCAGAGCCACTCTGTGAAGCTCCACCTTCCTGGCTCCACCTCATGATTCAATGAACACCTCACAGAGAACCTCACAGAGCCATGCCAAACATTCCTTCCAAACAATTCCTCTCCGGAGGTGATGCTAGGCAATCCTGTTTTCTCCATCTCACATCAGGGTGAAAGGTGAGCCTCAGCTAGAAGCTGGATGCAGAAGGCCCTGGAAAAGCCATTATCATTATTGTGGAGAGCAAGGGACAGGCCAGGAGAAAGAACTTGCCAAAGAAACTCAACCTCCTGCGAAGCCCTTGCCTCCCTGCCTGCAACCCTGCCACCGTGGCCTGGAACCCAGTCTTCTTCCCCGCAAAATAGTCAAGCATGAGTCCAGTCTAGCATAGGCCCTGCAGGATACTTGGTAGCTATACCAGTAAGTTTGTGAAGTGAACAATTCAATGAGTGTCACCCAGACGGAACTCCACACTTCACCACTGTATAATGTTCAACCTAAAACATAATCTTCTGGTCCCCCCAAACCCTCAGTTATAACCAAGAGTGTTAATCCAGCACTACAGTTAAAAATTAGACTGGGGAAGACTCTGACCCCCGCAAGGTCCCAGATGTATCCCCTGGGGAATTGCTTTAACCTGAGGTTCTGTCTCAGGTATAATATGGAGACACAAACATCTTCCTTGGGGCTGTGCAAAGGACAGATGTAGACCATGCTTACGAGGCTCATGGGGCCAAGCAGTCAGCATGTACTCCACAAATGGCAGCTGTAACTATAGCAGAACATCTTCCTTGGGGCTGTGCAAAGGACAGAAGTAGACCATGCTTACGAGGCTCATTGGGCCAAGCAGTCAGCATGTACTCCACAAATGGCAGCTGTAACTATAGCAATGTTCTTTAGGGAGAGAGGTTCCAGTCATGGATGCAGAGCAGTGTTTTCACCAGAGACAAGAATCTCAGGCCCAAATAGCAACACCTCACAGAGCAATTGGGATGAGCCCAAGACCCCAATACAAGCTGAGGGAAACCCTGCTATGCCCAGTCTGGGGCAAGATTGCAGCCAAACATCCCTGCTGCCTCTCATGGATGCCCACATTAGGCATTTGCCAAGACCAGGCAGGAAAAGTGGCCAAGGCCCATCCATTTCAAAGACCAAGGGCAGCAGAGTGTCACAGCCAATAAAGAAGTCTTTGGACTGGCCGTCTCCTCCAGGGTTTTCCCACTCACCCAGTCCTGGAAGAGAAACTATCCCTTGGGCACAAGAGCTCGCCCCACTGCCACAGCCCATGTGCTTTTCCTAGACTCATCAAATGACAGAGTCCTTGGCCAACCAATGTACCTGAAGTACAGAGGCTGGCTTACCAAGCCTCATGAAGCTTGGGGCTCCAGGGCCCATCAGAAGATGGAGCTTTATTCATATCAGAGAATAGGTAGGAGGAAATGCAAGTGCTTTCTAGAGTAAAAAGAATTCCCTAAAGTCTGGAGGAACCCTAGCCTGCTCTGGTAGCTGTCTGAGGGAGCAGGGGGCAACAAGGAACTGGCCCCATTTGCTCACCTACCAGGGCCCCAGAACCTTGTATAGCACCCAGGACCCACCTTCTCCCTGCTCAGGGGTCATGACTGGCCAGGCCTCTAGTGCCTCCCCAAACTGGCACCTAGACCAAGCTATCCTACTGCACTACCTGACAAGGAACAAAGGACTACACTCTGGGGATCTGCCTGAAGCCACCTGAGCAGGAAGTCGTCCGGACCATCCCGGATGTGGTCCTGATAACAACAAACTATGGAGTCAAAAGCAATTCTGCCAATGCTCAGTAGTGAGTGTCAACCACTCATGAAGTATTCTTCTAGTTTTCTTTTCTTTCTTTTTTCTTTTTCTCTTTTGTTTCCCTACTGAGCTCCATCTCTGGGTCCCAGAGTCTTCTATGGTGGAGAGAAATGACTCCTAAAAGTTGTCCTCTGACCACCAAATGCCCTCCCAACCCCCTACACACTAAATAAATGTAATTCAAAATAAATAGAAAATGATGCTAGAACAGCAGTTCTCAGCCTGCAGGCCATGACTCCCTTGAGGGTGAAACGACCACCCTTTCACAGAGGCCGCCTAAGACTATCAGAAAACACAGATAATTACATTACAGTTCCTAACAGTAGCAAAATTAGTTAGGAAGTAGCAATGGAAATAATTTTATGGAAGGGTGAGAATCCCCTAGACTATGTTAGTCAGGACACTGATAGGATCCAAGAGTCTGTAGCCTTGGGGCTGGAGACACAGCACAGAAGGAAAGAGTGCACACTGCTGTTTCAGAGGGCAGAGTTTGGTCCCCAGCATCCATGTCAGGCCGTTCACCATCACTGCCTCCGGCTTCTGAGGGCACAATATGCATGTACCTCATACTGACACATATGCATGGACGTAATTAAAAGGAATAAAAATATTTTTAAAGTTTGCAGCCAAATATAGCAAGTGCATCATGCAGCTCCACACAGCTCATGTATTTTTCCATTTTTCTATCATTTTATTATTGTTTTCTGAATGTCACATTTGAAGGACTTGGCCTTTTTTTTACCTACCATGATATCCCTTCTCATAGTCTACACATTCACTTCCCTACCTAATATTGTATCTACAACTTTAAATTCTTTTTCTTAAAGTGCCCTATGCCCGACCTAGTCAGCTTCTGGACTACAAATACCTGCATCCTTCCTGAGCCGGGCCAGGCCCAGCCGGACTAAACAGTTCTCCAGCTGTCTTTCAGTTCCGCCTTCCTCAACAATCCCATGATGGAACTCTATTATGAACCCCATTTTGCAGACAAGAAAACAGGCTCAGAAAGGCTAAGCAACTTGCCCATGTGCTCAGCACACAGTGCTGGGCTGGGTTCCACCCAGGGAACCCACCTCCAAGGCCCTGTCAGTCATCACAGAAAGACTCAAGTCTCTGTGCCACTCAGGATTATCACACTTTTAACTGAGCCCAAGCTGGTCAAACACCGGCTATGGTCAGCTTTTCCTCAGATCAGCTGTGGGGCCTGACTGGATCACTCTCCCGCTACTAGTGAGGTATCTCCTGTGTGTGCCTGGTGTGGAGCATTCTCCCTCGTGTCACTTTTCCACTTAGCAATGGCCAGTGGTCATTGTGGTGATGATGGCTCTCCTTCTGGCTGAGAGCAAGCTTGAGTGAAGGAGGAGCTGGAGTGAGGTCGCTGAACATGCTCAGAAGCAATGGATTTTAAGGTCAGAGAGTCTGCCCCTAGGTCTAGTTCTTGGCAGTGGGGAAGTGTCAGGGTAAGGGGGAACCATTTTATTATAAATTCCCCATGGGGAGAAAAAACGATACAATTGATGGGGGAAAAAGAAAAGCCAGTTTCCTGTTATGCTTTTCATTAAGAAGGTTGGAATCGGGGCTGGAGAGCTGGATCAGTGGGTAAGAGGCTTTCTGCTCTCACAGAGGGCCTGCAGCTTCATTCCTACCACCCACATCAGGTGGCTCACAATTGCCTGTAACTCTAGCATGCGCACGCTCATGCACACACTCACAGGCACTCATGCAAACACACACACACACACACACACACACACACACACACA